TAAATCCCATGACGACCCGTATTACAATAAACAAAACTACATGAGTTTCTGCAGCAACCGGACATATCATTGTAATCAGGGAAGACAATAAAACAGAACCTCCAACGACTATTCGAGAACCGATTATGGCACTTAAGTAACCACCAAGAAACTGGCTACACAGGTAGCCCCAAAAGAAGGAGCTAAGCACATATCCTTGTTGCCCTTTTGACCATAACAGGTCACCTTCTACCTTAATAGTAAACAGTTATATTAAATTAAGTCTTCTCAAGAAGCAAGATGTAACTTTTAATAAATTAAGAAGGAGAAAACTATTTTTAGCTTAGAATAACATGGAAACAATATAATATTTTTTGTTTGTGTTCTTATTTAATATATGAAACATATGGTCTCTTTGACAGTAGAGAGAGAGGTGACATTAAACATGTTATCGGTAGAGCAATTAAGCTCAAAAAAAAGATAGGAATTTTTGGCAGTTTGAGAGAAACTTCAAAAAGCAATTTTCATCTTTGATCCCTTGCTTTTTATTTGAACCTATGTAAAAAGAAGCATATATTTTATTGAGGTACTTTACATGTATTAAAAAAACAGTAAAAAAGTTTTTCTTTGAAACAATAAAACTTCTAAACTTCTAAGTTTAATTCTTATTTAAAAAGTAATAAAAATTTGTAACTTAAACATCTTACTAAAACGATGCTTTTCTATCTGCCTGCTGAGATTTCACAAATTTCTTTTTTTGATGAAAAAGAAAGTAGCTAAGATTGCTGATCACATTAAATATTCTTAGCAGAAGTTAACCATCTCTGTATTGATTACCTTGTCATCGTCATCTGAAGAGCTGTCGTTACCACATTTATTATCTTTGGAATCACTGTCAGTATCTTTTACTGCTGTACCATTAACCATACAAACAATTGCAAAACTAACATCACTTCTTAGAGCATAGGCACATGCACAGCCGAGAAAACCAATGAAAGCCAATGTCAAACGAGCTGATCCCAATAAATCTATAAACCTATTAAACTTGCAGTCTTATGATTGAATAACATGACACAAGTCAGCGTAAAATATCAGTAGACTCGATTATCTTTTTTTGCACTTTATTTACTACCTATTAAGCTACACCCAAAATATAGATGTCTAAGCTTTGTGTTTCATAACTTTTTAAAAATTTGAAGTAAGCAAAATTTAGCTTTAAAATTATTACTATCATTACCGACTGTGGTGATAGAAAAAGTGACAGGTATTATTAGCATTTTTTTCAACTAATTCATGCGTTAAGACTGCCAAATGAATTGTTAGACAACTGTTGAGCAATGACAGCAAGTACAGATTTAAATTTCGTAAGTTATCATCCAGATTACGGTAGAAAAAAGTGCTGCATAACGCACGGCAAGTAGAGACAAAAATTTGTAAAAAAAACCGCCTGGGTTGAAAATGTTTTATTTGATCAAAAAGCGTTTGGTTCAATTGTTCTGTAAAGGATGCTTTACGCAGCGAGTGAAAAGACGACATCCCAAGTCGGCTTCTGACAACTAACGGTTTTTCAGTCATTTGATACTCATCTAATGCAAATAGCCCAATTATGCTTCCAAAAAGATTCAAATGTCAACGCAAAGAAAAGTGCATTATTATCACCACTTAAACATTTTGTGCAAACTGCTCAAATTTTACATCCTCAGCATCATTAGACAATAATCTGAAGTGCTAAAACTTTAGAAACATGTTGGAAAAAACTTCTAAGTTTTTAGACTTTACCGGCCAAAACAATTTGATCTGCCAGCGGAAAACAGAAGAATAAAATAATAAGTAAGCAAAAAAAAACGGTAACTTACGGGAAGTTGTTTTTTTCTCCATAGCATTCAGGTAACACACAAAATGCGGTTCTTATAATTTCTAAATGCTATCGCTAAATGAGATTTGTTATTACCACTTTGTTTGTGTTGTAAATTTGCTGCTAATACAACCTGGAACACGTTTTTTCTTTATTAATATTTACTGTGTTATAATCACTATTAGACATTACCGCTATCAACGAACAAACCACTGAGATGTAAACAAGAAAAAGAGACAAAAGAAAAAATTTCACACATTTTACAGGATAATAAGCATGTCAAATAAAGCTGCTTTTACATGTTTGGAACCAAAATAACCATGTTAAACATTTTTACAACGCTAAAAAAAAGTTACCAACATGGTATTCTGATCCAAAAGTTAGAAGAAAACAATGGTAGGACTTCGGCCTTTTAATTACAGTACAGGCCTACAAAATTTTAGGATTATGTACATAATCAGAACAGAAAATAAAGAGACAAAAAGTTTTGCAATTTGTTTTTTTAAAATTGAACCTAAAGTTCAAGCTTTGGACATTCCACAGAAAACAATGAACAGTGCCAGCAGTTATCATCTTCAAACATTCACAAGTTCTGCTATTGCCCTTATCATCGCAGCATACACTGTGAAGTTCAACTTCTCACTACAACGATCACTGGCACGGCCCACCAGTAGCTCCAATAAAGTAAAAAACCTATACAAGGAAAATGTTACACTGAATACCATAATGAATTCCCTTATTAATAGACTTGCCAATAAGTAGCCAAAAACTCGCAACATTTTGTTATCTAATGCAGTAAGCATGACCTTCTTAAAATTTTAGTACAATCTTTTTGGCTCCTTATAGCAACTAACTTAACAAAACAGCAGTACCAAAAAAAAAAAGCCACATATACTTTTCAGTAACAGTGTCTATAGTAGTTTAAAGAAGCTAACAAATCATAAATTAAAAAGAAAATGCTCAGTAGATTTTCTTCAAAATTATGAGATTAGCGACAGACCTATTTAAAGTAAGCTGAGACTTCTATAAACAGACTTACAGCAAAACTATAAGGTAATTCTCTTTAAAGCATTCTGATGAGTAATACGATAAAGCTACAAGAATAAAACAACTAATCATTGTCTGTAAGATTGAAATCGAAGCAATGATATTAAAAGAATAGTATAAATAAAAAGTTCTTCTTAGCTAAGTGACATCAAAACTTTTTGCTACGAAGATTTTCACTTGAAATAACCGAAATCTCCGCAGCACTCTTCTTTTCCTCGTCGGAAGTGGAACCATTTTCTTCACATGGTACTTCCGCCCAAGGTTGTAATTCACCCGTTGTTAAGACTGCGAAGAATGCTGTACAGACCACAAGAATAGCAGCAGTTATCCAGAATACAAGCCTCCATTCTTCACTTGTACCCTGTAATTCTCAAATTTATTTTATGCAAACAATTTGAAAGTAAATAATACAAGAAAAAACCGATTAAAATTTACTGCTCTTTCAATCTAAAACTGATAAAACCTAAGACCAGTGAAAAAATTTTTCTTTAATCAAATATACGCTTTGAAATTTTAGTGGCATACCGCATGAGTAACCCATCCAACGATAATAGGCCCAATAATTCCTGCAATGCAGGTAATTGTGTTCCCAATACCTACTAGAGGTCCAGCCAAATGTCCTCCAACGTCCAAATAATTTACAACATAACCAGCATATGCAAATCCAGAAATCCCAATTCCAGCGGTAACGAATACAATAGCAAGAGTTTTCTGACCGCATCCGCAATAACCACTAGCAACTAGGAAAGCAGCCTGACCTCCCATTGCTGCAAATCCAAACTAAACACTGCTCATTTCATAATAATAAAAACATTCTAAAATTTGAGCTTTTTTACCAATAATCATAGCCAGCTTTCGAGTTGTTCCTGTCGACAACAGGTTTGCTGATCGAATCCTATCAGCCAAAAATCCTCCAATATTTATAAAAACAAAATATGCAATATAAGGCGCTGCAGCTGCAGCTCCCATCTGAAAAATTCCATTTTTATTATAACTAAAACTGAAAAAAATAAGAAAAAACATAACAAGAGCGTTATCAAAATATTACAGAATTGAGGTCCAGATCTAAAACGTCGTTCATGTATGTGGGTAAACTAGTCATCATTATATAAGCTCCCCAGTCACTGGCAAAATGTCCACACCAAATCCCCCAAACAACTTTTGAAGTAAACATTGCTCGCCATGGTATAACTTGCTAAATGTTGTAAATGAAGTATTACAGCTGACTTGCAAGAAAGTAACAAAATGTCTATCATTTTCGTTTCAATACAAAAGCTCTTACAATAAAAGTGGCGAAAACAAAAGTACCTTTTTACCAATATTGGCTAAGTGTCCTAAAGATGACCTAATGTACTCTTTTTCATGGTTGCTTATAAACCTATGTTCATGGGGAGTGTCGGCTACGTAGAAGAACCACAGAGCTGACCAGAGCAGTCCTATTGCACCTAAAAAAACGATACTGTTTCGTCACAAGTTTTTTTAACTATTGTGTGAGCGACGAAGATTGGGCTGCTTACCAAAAACGTAATAAACCGACGGCCATCCACCAGCAAAGCCGTACTTACAAAGCGCTGCAGATACGGGCATGGAGATCATTACTCCCAGTTGATTACCTGATATTTGAAAGTGATACAGCAGCAATTAAGCAACGCTTTAAAAACAGTACAACCCCTTAGGCTTTACTATTCTGAATTTGCAGACAAAGACTAACATTGCGAAAAAAGCACTAAGCAAATGAGCAAAGTAAACCTGCATAACAAAAACTAATTAACAAGCTTCTTTCAAGCGGCGGTGCCCAGTTTGACCAAAGAGTTTGTAAAGCTGGAAATAATGCTCCCTAAAGTTGTTAATAATTAGATAAAATTAACCCTTGAAAAAGAGGAAAGTGCAATTAGATAGAATCAGTTAATGGTCGCCTTACCTGAACAAATCCCATAATAATCCTCATTGCCATAAAAAAGATGACATGAATATTGGCGGCAACTGGCGACAAAAGCGTAACAACCGAAGACAGAAATATTGAAATACCGATAACAACTTTCGCTCCAGCTTTTACAATCAATTTTGCAAAAATTAACTGACTGAACAGGTAGCCCCAAAAGAACGAACTGAGCACAAATCCTTGCTGCGCCTTTGACCATAACAAGTCGCCTTCTACCTAAGATAAAAAGCACAGTTTTTTGGCATTTTACATTTTACCTATTGAAGGCTAACAATAAGCATTTTTAAAAAATTTGAAATGATTGGTTTATATATTTCAATTCATTACTCATAAAAGCAGGCTTCTTATCCATAATTCTTGCACAATAAAAAATTTATTTTAAATTACATTAATAAGTTAAAATAAATGTGCAACTTTTACACCGCAACATGCAGAATAGCAGTGAATTAAATATTCTCTCTGTAGATATTAAACCAAAAATATGGCAATATTTTGACAGATTTTTTCGTTTTAAAAAAGCACAACGATTGAAATAAATTTTAAATTTACTGTTAGCTATATTGAAATTATACCAACCTTATCAGCTTTGTCAGTGTCATTTGTACCGCCGCATTTGCTTGTATCGCTTCCCGATTTCTCTTCTGTTGCAGTTCCATTGACCATGCAAACAATTGCAAAGCTAACATCACTTCTTAGCGTGTAAAACGAAGTGCAACCAATAAAGCCGACTATAGCAAGAGTAAAACGACTAGAGCCTAATAAACCTGAAAAAAACATACTTGTAATTGATGAACGACTAGTTAACGTTGCTGCAAATCAGCCTATTCTATTATACTGATACTGCTGACGATTCCATCTAATAATCAACCTTAAGGTCAACAAGGGAGGTTTCTTGGCAGCAATTTAAACTTAAAGAGTAGATAGACATTCTATAGTAAAAATGATATTGAAATATTCAAGTAGATGTTTACTTTTTCGACTACTCAGTCAATCTTGACAGTTAACAGACTTAACAGTGGCTTGTTTTTAAAGCATTTTTTTTAATATTTTCAACATTTTTTGAAACGATAGATTACTGAAAAGTAAAAATTAAGAGGTAAAAACGAAAAAAGTTCACTTTCAAAACAGACTGTATATTTGCTATCAAGTAGATTGAAAAAAAAAA